CCGCCTCGAGTGGGCCGAGGCTGAAGCCGCCTGCGGCAGCGCCGAGGAGCTGGAACGGGAGCGGAGCAAGGCAGGAGCCCCATCCCGAGCCGGGCGGGCGTGTGGAAGGCCCGGCCCGGCCTGGCCTAACGCCTCTTTTTCTCCCTTCTTGACCAGCTGTCGGTAGACACTCTGCAGTTCCTGCTCTTCCTGTACATCCAGCAGGTGAACAAGGTCTCTCTGCGAAGGTCTCTGATCGGGGAGGAGTGGCCTAGCCCCAGGACGAAGGCTCCCAGCCTGACTGGAAAATCTGCTGGTGTCTGTAGGATTCTCCTGGAGGAGTGACTGGTTTGTTCCTGGAGGTGTAACCCTTCCTGGGTTAAAGCCCGAGCTGAAGTCGAGTGGCAGATGCTTTGCTCAATAGGAAATGAAATGAGGTTGGTGTATTCTCTGCAGCTTTACCAGCAAACGTTGTCTGCAGGAATTTCCTAGTGTCTCAGGCCAGCTCTGAAAGTTCTCTCAGAGTCTCTCTAGTTTCCCTTTTGAGGAACAGCTGCCTCTTGGCTTTTTCTTAATCAAATGGGAAATTTTCTTACGTTGGAAGCTGCTTTCCTGCAATGCCTTATAGAGTATTAGGATCCAAGGTTTTGGTCCCTGGTGTTTCAGAGAGGAGAGTTGTTGGATCAGCTGTAGAGCTGTGGAAATGCTCATGTTTCCTTTTAGGAGAAGAGAAGGGAGTTGGATGTATCAGGGGCAGCTCTGTCCAACACTGAGTTCCAGATTGGCAACATCCCTCTAAAGGCCAGCTGCCAACCTCTGGATTTCTGTCATGATGGAGATGTTTGAGGGGCTGGAACAGATGCAGCGACTTTCCAAGAGAGCAGCAGCAAGACCTGGACTGTCTGTTCTTGATTTGCTTCCTACCTTTGACTGCCAGCAGCTGCTGGCTGGATTGGTGTGGGAAGGGTTGTAGGAGAGTCTGTTTCTGCTTTCTGGAGTGAAATATTTGGTGCTGAGAGTTAGAATCAAATGTGTTTTTTCTTTTTGGGGGAGGGTGCTTTCTGGTTTTGAAGAGCAGAGCAGCTGGAGCAGTGTGGAGGGCAGAGCACACTGCTTCCCTTGCTTTCCTTCTTCCAGAGCAAGTGTAAGCAAGGGGGTGTTGTTGGATAATGCTTGAGGAGTTGACAAGCTGGCTCTCTGAGTCCTTTACCTCCTCCTTGTGTGTTTTTTTTCTACCCTCCAAGAACTGGAACGATCAGGACCAGCGTGCCTTTGTGCAGAGCCACCTCTCAGAGATGCTGGAGCTGCTGCTGGAGCCCGAGCAGCTCACTGCCTCCTCCCATCCCACCCACAGCACCTTGGTGTCCTACGAAGCTCTCTGTGCTCTCAGCTTTCTTCTTGAAGGGACCATGGGCAAATCCAGGAGGGTCCATCCTCTCCATGAGCTTGCCCTCTGGCAGCCCTGCCAGGGGCAGAACGGCTACTCCAAGGTCTCCAGAACCTTCTCTTGCCACAAGTTGGAGAGCTGGCTGAGGTCCTGCCTGACCACAAACCCTTTTGGAATGACTGCCTGCCTCAAGTCTGGGAAGAAACTGGCCTGGGCACAGCAAGGTAGCTACAGGCTTGGCCTTTATTCTTAGAAATCCTTTCTCTCATCTCCTTTTGCTGTCCAGGGATCTGACAGTGGCATTGGGCACGTGAGGCCTTTTCCTTTTGTCAGTAGAGATGGGGAAAGGGATAGCTTAGAGGTGAGTCTAGAGGGTGCTGGGAGACATCTGAGCGTGGGTTTCTGCTCCTTGGATCACTTCTGTGAGCAAATGCTAGTTCTTGATCCAAGTTCCTCACTGCAGCTCCTCACCTGCAGTGGAGCCAAGGCACCTTTCACTTCAGGAGGAGAAAAATTCACATTTTGCTTCTGTGACTGCCCAGTCCTAAGAGTGGCAGTTAGGCCAGTGAGGATGCTCAAGGACTGTAGCATAAAGGGAGCATTTCACTGCCTTAAAATGTACAATTCCTGCTTCCAGCAGAAAAATTGCCCTGAGGATCTTCCTGCCAAGCTCAGTGTTGTGTTCAGGAATGAACTTCTGCCAATGGCCATGCCTTAGTCAGGGCTGGCTGTAATTTGTGAGAGGCTTTGGCTGACCTTGGATGATCTTGAAGCATTTTTGAGCTTTCAGTGTGCCTCGACTTTTGGAGCTTCTGGGTGCTGCTGAGCTGCCTCGTAGGCATCAGGGGGGTGGTGTGTGAAGGGATGCAGCTTGTTGGTACTGCCCTGGAAGTTTTGGGCTGGTTCTTGAGAGATTGCTGGGTGATGTGACCAGTGACCCATCAAGTCTGTGTCTGTAGGAATCAAGTCTAACCTTTTTTTTTTGGGAAATTTGAAATTCATCGATGAACTTTATCCCGCAGTTGAAGGAACGACCAGGAGAGCCAAGATTGCCTGCAGTGCTCACGTGGTGCCTGAAGTGTTCCCCATGGTGATCATGAGCCAGGTGTACAAGCAGACGTTGGCCAAGAGCTCGGACACCTTGGTGGGGGCTCATGTCAGAGTCCATGGGTGCAACGAGTCCTTCATTTACCTCCTCTCCCCTCTCCGGTGAGTGCGTCTTCTCCGCCAGTCGGAGGCTCTGTCAGAGGGAAGAGTCCTGCCTGTGCTGTGTCCTGCTCACCCTGTCCTTCTTCTCTGGCAGGTCTGTGACCATTGAGAAGAGCAGGAACAGCACCTTTGTCCTTGGCCCCGTGCAGGCCTCTGTCCACGTGCAGGGCTGTGACAACATCCGGGTCATCGTCGTCTGCCACCGCTTGTCCCTCGCCTCCACCACCGCCTGCACCTTCTACATCCTCACACCTACCCAGCCTCTCATCCTCTCGGGGAACCAAGCAGTCAGCTTTGCTCCTTTCCACACCCATTATCCCATGCTGGAAGACCACATGGCTCAGGTGGGCTTGGCCACGCTGCCAAACTACTGGGACAACCCCCTGGTGGTGTGCAGGGAGAGCTGCGACGCCGGCGTCTTCCGCCTCCTGCCGCCCTCCGACTTCTACACCTTTGTGGTGCCTTTTGAGATGGAGGGGGACACCACGGAGACCCCGGGTGGGCTTCCCCAGGCCTATCAGAAGGCTCTGAGTCAACGAGAGCAGAAGGTACAGGTCTGGCAGAAGACTGTGAAGGAGGCAGGCCTGACCAAGTGAGTGCTGCATCCAAAAGATGGGTGAGCGTGTGGCAGCGCAGAGCTACAAACAGGATTCCTTTGGTGTGGTTCAACAAAAAAGCTTTAATAAGGGGTTGGTTTGTGTGAATCACGTCTTGCATGACATTTAGGAATTGGCAGCCTTGGGATCTTGGCCTTTGGTGCTGTTATAGTGAGCAGAATAATCACAATTGTTCCTCTGAGGGAGGTGGTTTGTCGTGGTTGTGTTTTCCTAGCTTGTGACACTCCAGGAAGAGCTGAGGTGAGGGATCCACCCTGGCAGGAAGAGTTTCCAACTCACCTCACGCTGGGTACTGTCTCTCTGCTGTGTCTCTTCTGCTTCCAGTGTCGCATGCTGCCGTGGGTGAGATCTGGGGGCATGACTCTGAACAACAAGTCAACTTAATTAATGGCCTGCAGCTGATTGGTGGTCACTCTTAACCCAACATTTACATTGAGATGGAAGCTTTAAATTACTGTCCCGTCGGTTGCTGAGGTGAGCTCAGAATGTGCACGTGGACCATTGTGGTAGAGCACCTTGTGGACAGTAGCTTTTAAAGTCCTCTCCATCAGATGGCATCAAATCCTCTGCCCAGCTTCAGCTGTCCTAGCCAGGCCTATCCTAGCCTATTCCTAGCCCATCTCATGTCCTGATGTGCCTCTGCTTTCTCAGCACCTGTGAGCTGTGAAGGAGTTCAGCTTGCTTCCTTTGTCCCTGTGCTTTCTTCTGCAGCCAGCCAGATCAGGCAAGGCTACAAATCTCTCCTGACTTGAGTTCAGCTCCTTTTATCTTCTCCAGAACTGTTTTGATGCAGCAACCTGAAGGGCCTGGCTTCTTTTGCAAGTAGAGAATGGGGATAGAAACCCAGACATTCAATTGTAAAGACCTGAAGAGATGAGAACAAGTTCTGTTCCCTAAGCTGTACTTAAGCTGTATAGATTTTCTTTCTGTTCTCTGTGCTTGGCTGATGGCTTGTAACAGGCATGGAGTGGGGTGTTGATAAGCAGTGGTCTTAGAGGGGTTTATCCTGTGGGGAATAGAGGATGTGAAAACCTCCTCTTGGCTCAAACTGTGGACAATTCCCAGCAGACCAGGCTGAAGAGTTCTAGTCAATTGGATTGTTGTTTCAGAGGAGCTTCCTCCACTTCTCTTGTGCTTATCTGAAATCCAGGTGCCTTTGTGGTGATCTTGGAGCAGCCTGCACTTCAAAAGAGCTCAACACTGGGAGAGAGAAAGGATCCTGGGGCATGATCTTCCTTCAGGTTGAGGGTGGATGAGCAGGAGTGACCCAGCAGTGGTGACAGGGGTGTAAAAAGACTCTCAACCTTGAGTCTTCAAGGGCAGCAGAGAGGGAAGTTGTAACTTCAGCCCTTGTGCTAGTGTCCTCTGTTGTGTTTGTTGACCTCATCTGAGGTAGATCCTCCTCCAGCCATTGTCTTCCCAGGGCTGGTGCTTCTCACCCCAGAGATCTGTGAAGGTGTTTGGCCTGTCAAAGTCCTGCTGTTGAAGTAGTGTGAGGTAATAGGGATGATGGGCTTAGATTTCACATCCTCTCCAGCACTCACAGGAGGCAAGAGCTCACCACTGGAGTGGCTTATTTCATAAAAAAGGGGGGGAAACTGTGCCAAGTTTAGAAGCTTGTTGTAAAAAAAACTGGGCAGCTAACTGTAAAATGTCTCTGACTCCTGCAGGCAGAGAAAGGAGGGAGACAACTAGGAAGCTTAGAGCAAACAGCATATCAGGCTTGTAGAAAGAAAAAAGCTGCCATGCTTGAAACGAGGAGGCAAAAGAGAGTGTTAGAAATAAGAAGACATCTTTCAAGAAGTGGATGTTGTCTGTATGAGGAAAGTGGGGCAAAAAAAAAAGAATGTAAATCCTGCCAGGCTGAGAGTAAAACCCCAGTTAAGACAGGAGCAGGGAGACAGCTTGAGGAACAACTTGCAAAAGCATAAAATCCTGTTTATTCATTTTCTGAGCGTATCAGACAGAAAGTCTTTCAGGGTCAGCAGCAGATCAAGGGATATAAAAGGCACTTGGAGAAGATAAAACCATAAGGGAAGAAGAAAGAAGTGGCTGCCTTTTGTGTTTGTGTTCACTGGGGAGGAATTTAGGTTAGATTCTGGGCTAGAACCTTGCTTTCTGGGGAATGTCTCAAATGGAAGAGAATAGTACAAAGAAGAGCCTTTAACTTGGGAAAAAAAAAAGGGTCTGGGTAGAGCTGAGTGACACAAAAATGAATAGGGTTGGTTTGCTGCTTTTCCCAGTGCAGGATGGGATCAGCACATCAGATTAGGGATGGCTTCAAAGCAAAGCCACAGAAAATCTCTACAGCACATTGAAAACCTTCATGTTTTACGTGGCTTCAGAAAGGAGTGGTGTAAGCTCACAGGGGAAAAAAAAGAGTCCAGCAGGAGCTTCTCAACACCCAATGCCATCTTTGGCTTAAGGAATTCCAGAGCTGAGCTGATCCCTCATGGCTGGCATGCTCTTCTGGGGGAATACTGTGAGGCTGTGCTGCTTTTGGGCATCTGGGCAGTGCCAGAGACAGAGAGCCTGAGCTAACTATACCCTCTTACTGCTGGTCCTACCAAAACCACCCCAAAAGTTAATGTAGCAGTAAGAGGGCTCACTTGAGGTGTGTTTATAGGTGCAGAGAGCCTGAGCTAACTATACCCTCTCACTGCTGGTCCTACCAAAACCACCCCCAAAGTTATTTAGCAGTAAGAGGACTCGCTTGAGGAGTGTTTATAGGTACATTTTGTTCCTAACCTCCATCCTCTCTCTTTCAGATGCTGTCAGAACAGAGTTTTGTGTCTTTACTGCTTGAATGCTGATCTGCCAGTCTTCTTTTTCTCCCTTTTCAGGGTTTTTAATCCGTGCTCTAATAAAAAGCAGAGGCAGGGTTGCTGTGCTGCTGGGACAGGGCACTTTGCACAACTTCTCTAACTCCACCAATTTCTGCCTCTGGGTTCATTATAGTGCTATTCACTTGCTAAAAAAAACCTTCTCTTCCTCATACAGTTGGGAACCAAGCTGGTTTGGGTCGTGAAGGTGAGGTTGGAAGTAAAATGCTAGAAAGAATTGCAACCTTTAGATCCTTTTCTGCTCATCTTTTGGTTTTAGGGATCAGAGGAAACGGTTCCAGATCCTGGTGGAGAACAAGTTCTATGAGTGGCTGGTTCAGACAGGGAACCGCCAGCAGCTGGATAGCCTTGTCCCTCCTCCAGCAGCCTCCAAGCAGGCACCAGGGTAGCAGCACAAGGAAAGAAAGTGAGTAAAGGGCTTGTTTCTCCTCAGTCTTCTCCACTTGGCACAATTGTCCCATGTCTGTGTGCAGAGCTACACGTGGGAGACTGTTCTGTGGACAAGAGTCTTGCACGTGGGTTTAGTTCTTTTTTTCTTTCTCAGTCAAAACCTGTGCTCAGCTTGAATCTGTCCCCTGTGTACTCAGCACCTCCCTTGTTCTTTGCAAGTGTTCTGTTTGGTTGGCTTGGGGACCTCTGGGGGTGTGTGGCTGTAAAGGCAAATTGACATCTTGTCCATAATCTGGTGTAAAAGACTTATTTCAACAGCTGCTCTTTCAAAGAGGCTGTGGGTATTAATATCTCCACTTTCCTGCCTCACTAGTTGCTGAGAGAATTGAGTGACACTTCAAATAATTCTTACTTTGCAGCCTTTATCTTCCAAAGCAGAAGTGGTTTAGGAGGAGCCAGAGACAAACCCTCACTGTGCTTTTCTGCCATTGCCTGGTTCCAACTATCAGAAAGTTGAGTTGTTGGGTTGGGTTGGTTGTTTTTTTTCCATTAATCTTTGAGTTGTTTTTTCTTTGCTAGCGTTGGGTTGGGTTGGTTGTTTTTTTTTTCATTAATCTTTGATTTGTTTTTTCTTTGCTACTGTTGGAAGTAAAATTTATTCCTTTTATTTTCTCATAGAGGTCTGGGAACAGGCAGAGAGACACTGAAAAAATTCTCCCAGAGACTTTGCAGCCATCCCAAGTGAACACGCTGGATCTGGATCTGATGCCCAATTTTGGACTGGCTGCCTAGGTTTAGGATTTTTCACCACTGCTGCTTTCCCAAGAAGGTGCTGTGATGATTCTGTTGGTAACTGAGCCAGTGCATGCCCCTAAGGGATGATGAAGTATGCCTTGGTGCAGACCCTCTGGTGGGGGTCTCTCAGCAGGGGTAGTGTCCTTGGTGTGCAGGTAATCCAGCCAAGGAGCTGTTTTTATACATGTGTAAAAGAAATGTTTGGGTTTTAATGAATGAAATTCAATGCTTTTTTTTTTTTTAATACAAAGATGGCACTTAAGCAACATGATTTTAGGGAATTAACTTACATGTTTGCATTGTTTTGGTAAATGTCAATAAAACAGAGTTCTCAGATAAGCCTGGCACATGTCCTGGGGAAGGGATTTTTACCTCTAGAGTGGCTGTTAGAGGGACACAACATTTTTACAGCTTCTTGAATGGTCAGCTGGCCAGCTGAGAGAAAAGTGTTAGTTTATCAACAGCCATGGAGTTGAAAGTTTTGCTGTTTCCTGCTTTTAGTATTTTTTTTAGAGGGCATCAGCTTGAATGAGTACCATTCTCCTGAGCTAGTGGAGCCTGTCTTTGGGAGAAAAAGAGAGCTGAGCACCTAAGAGAGCCAAAAATGGCAAAGGCATTGCATGGCTGACCCAGGGCACCAGCCTCATGGAGAGCTCTCCAAGCTGGGAGTGAGGGCAAGGCAGGAGCATTTACTGCTCTGGTTGTCCACAGTTGTGATGCTGGAATTGTGCTGAAGGTCTCTCTTGTCTCCTGGGGGAGAGGGGTGATGCAAGGCAAGCTGAGTTTATGATATTTAAATGATTTATCAAGAGGGGATGTACAAAGTGACCACAGCAGAGCTTTGAGATGTCTTGTGAACCTACTGGGTTGCCTTTTGACAGGACCCTGGGTTGTGACTGAACTCTGAGCTTCATAAGGCAGCATTTGAATAAACCAAAAGTGGCACTAAACTTTTTAGCCCCTCCAGACACCTAAAATGGGAGGAGGAGAAGGAGGAGGAGGAGAAGATGCTGCCCAATCTGCCTGGGGCTGTCAGATCTGACTGCCTTTAGCAGAGCTGTGGCAATCCACAGGGGGTGGCAAGCAGAGCTGCTGTTGCAAGACTGCTTGTCCTGACAGATTTGAAGCAGGGCCTGTGTGTTTTGGGCTCTGCTCTGCCAAATTCATGGCCCTTTGTTTCACTAAGCCTTTGGGCTGGTGCAGTGAATAGCTGCAGAGGTATTTTTTTCATAATGCCCAGGCTTGGAGGGGGGGGGTTTGGGTGTGTGCATAAGCCAGCAATCCTCACCCTCCCTGCTCAGTGGGCCAGAGTGTGGCTAAAAGAAGGACTTTTGCCCAAACTTCAGGCAGTGGTGTAAGAGTTTTGAGTTGAATTTGTGGCCCCAGCAGATGTGGTCAGAAGTTTAGGCATCCTCCTTTACTATTTGCTGTGTGAAATCACTTTGGGGGAGTGTGGCCAGACACACTTCTTCTGTCAGGCATGATTTGGGGCAATATAGCTTGAGGAGAGGGTGTGCTAGAAAACTATGTAGCCTCTGCTGCCCAGATGTTTCCATTGGGGGCTTTTGAAGCAGAACATCTGTGTAGAGGCTGTTCTTTGCAAGCTTGTGGTGCCTGCCCTGGGTAAGTGTTGACAGCTTCCCAGCTGCATCCTGCAGTGCATGGGGATGTTCTCTGACAAATATTGGATCTCTCCCTTAAAAATGGGATGGGCCTTTGAGTTGAACATGCTTGAAAGGGAGAGAGAGAGAGAGAGAGAGAGCAGCCAAATCACCCCCCACCCTCCAGGGCTTGGCAGGGAGGTGCATATTTTGAGTGCTTTTGGCAGAGTTTTGGTGTTCTGACTCAGCAAATGGTAACAAAGGGAGGATGGTGAAGCCTTCCTTTCTTCTATAATCCTGTTTGCTTTTCTGGAAATCAGCTATAGCCTCAGAATCACTGACTCAATTTTTGGATCCTATTCTCATGACAAAGCGACTGTCTGGTTTAAAACAAGCCCGTTATAAAAAGGGTGCCTCAGATCCAGGCTGTTTGTAACAGCTCCTGACCTTCCTCCAGCACTGGGGAGCTTGGCTGGGACAGAAAATGTCCAGAGCTGGGACCAAGGTAAGTTTATTTACAGCCCATAGATGATTGTGGTCAGGAGTAGAGAATTTATCAGGGATAAACTGTGGAGAAACTTTGGTTTGCTGGTTCTGCTGACAGAAACTTTGGTTTCCTGGTTCTCCCTCCTTTCTAGGATGGAGGGAAGCTGGAGCTGAGCCCTCCCCAGCTCTAAGGGTATTTATAAGCAGCTTTAGATCCAGAGAATGGTGTCCTGCTTGCTTCTGACCTGCTGCCTCTCAGCTTGCAGTGGTGCAGGCTTTAGGTACCCGTGGATGAAGAGGGTGCTGGGGAAATGCCCATTCCAGGGAAAAGAAAAGGGCAAAGTTTTGTGCCTGAATCCTGGGAGGAAATCTTGAGAAGTGCTGAGTGTGAAGGTCTGGAAGGAGTTGAGGGTGTTTACAAAAGGCTGTGGTGGAGAACAGGTGGGCAGGAACCTTCTCCTTGACATTTCCTCTAAATGGTTGAAGAATAAACCAACAAACAATGTTTTTGGTTGGTCACTTCCCTGTGGGAATGGCCATACCCTTAATGTGCTCTTGGATTTCTTTGTGGCTTTCCTGTGGTCTTGGAGCTGCTGCTGGGCAGAGTTCCTCCTCATGTTGGACTCTGGTTGTGTGGACAGGAGGAGGACAGGATCAGAAGGGGCTGCAGAGGGTATGAGGGGGATTCTGTGGCTTCCTTGACCACTGGCTTCAAGAAGAGGATTCCTGGTGGTGAATGACCACCAAACCACTGTGAGCAGAGCTTTCAGTGTTGCCTCTGGGATCATGCTGACAGATTTTTTTGGGTGAAAACCTCTAAGGACAGAGATCCAGGAGCAGGGTTGTGGCTGGCATGGGCTGACCAGCATGGTTACCCAGTCACAGCAGTGGGGGGAAAACAGGAGCTGGACATTTTAGTGCACACCTTTTACAACCCTTATTCACTTGCTGAGAAGATGGTCATGGTCTCCTCACTCTGCTGCAATGAAGATGGGAAGAGCTTGCTCAGGAGGGACAGGTCACTTTGTAGGTGCTGGCTGCTTCATAATGGGAGGTTGGTCTCTTGAAAGTAAGAGGAAAATGTGAAAGAAATCACATTACCCTCATAAAGATGATGAGTCCAACTCCCCAGATACCACCCTGATCAGGCTGGTGGGACACACTGACCAAACAGCTCTAGGAAAACTGTGGCTAACTTATTTTTTAACACAAAGTGAATGGAAAACATCAAAAGTGAGTTGTCCTTGATTGGAGGCTAAAAATGGGGTGGCACGAAGGACTGCTCTGGGTCAAGGGCTTGTTAATATTTCTGTGAAGAAAGCATGGGTTAGAACTGAAGGTTGCTGAACCCTGGGGCAAGAGGAATGGGATTTCCTAATTGCTAACACTCATTAAGCCAATATAAATGAAGTGCTGCCTAGCACAGTCTATTGACTTATGGCTTCCTTGGCCATAATTTAGTAGCTACTCATCTAGAGAAGGTGGGAGGTGAGTGTGTAAGTAGCATTTTGCTCCAAAGAGGACAGAAACTTCAGCAAGGGAGCTTTGGGTTGGACTGGGGACAGCATGAGGTGTTGGGAAGGCCAAGAGGTTGGTGGCAGCTGGAGGTGCTGGGGCTGGTGGGTCAGCTGCCAGTTGGCATGGAGCTGATCCTGTGGTTGGGCTTGGTGACTTTTGGACATCTCGAGGGCTCTTTTTGGATGTTTCATGGAGCTAGAACATGGGTGATGAACAATCACCCCGGTGTCTACATAGCCTGGGTGATGAACCACCCTCTGCTTGTGTCTCAGATCACCTTCTATGAAGACAAGAACTTCCTAGGCCGTTCCTATGAGTGTGACAGCGACTGCCCCGATTTTCACACCTACCTGAGTCGCTGCAACTCCATCCGTGTGGATGGGGGCACCTGGGTGGCCTACGAGAGGCCCAACTTCTCTGGGAACATGTATGTCCTGACCCACGGGGACTATCCTGACTACCACCACTGGATGGGCCTCAACGACCGCCTGGGCTCCTGCAAAGCCGTCCATGTAGTAAGTGGCACCTCTTCTCCAGGGGTGTTTTCGTTGGCACACCCCTCCTTCAGGGGTTTCAGGGTGCTGGGGGGTTGGTCTGCA